ACATGGGCCCCCACCTGTGGGGCTGATCCTGGGTCAGCCTGCCTCTCCTTTCTCTCTGCTGCTCATAGTTTGGTGCAGCAGTCAGAGGCAGACGGAGGAGTTGACGAAGAACTCGTTTGTTTGTCCTCAGACTGATTATCAGACTTTGTCAGGACTAAAGAGCATTTTTAGAAATGAAGCTGTGAGCTCATTACTCTGATTTCATGAAACTCACAACGACACGCAGACCGGACTAATGAGCTGTTCACGGCCCTCACAGGGAACTTAATAAGACTCTGAAAACGTTTAATTCTCATCTGCACATGCACAAAATATACAGCCGACATCACCAAAGGATATTTGGCATGTAATGAGGGGGGAGCCAGAGATCACCACCGACCATCCAATCAGCAGATGGTGTTCTCTCTACCACCTGAGCTACAGGTGAATATCAGTCAGTTAGTAAACAGCCCAGTCAGCAGTGTTGGTGCTGATTCGCTGTCCTCCTTCCTGTGTTTGAAGGTTTTGGACATTTGAGCGTCTCACTCAGGTTTGAAGGAGGTGACACGTCCTTCAGCTGGTGACGAACTTAAAGAAAACGAGTGTTTGCAGTAACTGTAGAGGAGTGGAGGAGCCTCAGGCTGTGGACATGCCGACGGCGCTCTTCTGTTTCAGACGTCGGAGAAGCGAAAGCCGACCCATCGCGTTGGTTCTGTGAGGAAGTGCTCACGGCGGCTGCGTTTCACTCGGTTTCCTCGTTTTGGGGAAGAAACTGAAGGCTTTCTGTTTATTGGTCTGCGATGTGACATCACACCAACCGGGCGTCACTTAACATTTTTTCACTTAACTTTTTACTGTAAAGCAGCTTCATGGTGTGTGTCACATGCTCTGCGTGTCAGAAAGACAAGGAAGTAAAGCTCCCAAAAGCTGTTCTGACTGCAAGGTGATATTTGCTGATCAGGACTGATGACGAGGCTCAGGCACAGAAAGAGGAAGGTGAGGAGGACAAGGGGAAGAGCGGCAGGTCAGCTGCTCGACATCCTGCGGCCGATATCTGCTGTGAATCTGTTTGAACTTCATGCTCCGCCTCTTTAGTCCCTGTTTTTGTGCTGATTGTGGTTGCCACACACACACACACACACACACACACATTTAATCCCCAAAACTTTGATGGTTTCCCACAGAAACAAAGAATCAGGTCACATCAAAGCGCTTTCACCTACAAACGAGTAAGACGATCACAGAGCTCTAATCTCTCTCTCTCTCTGCATGTCTTTAACCTCGCTCAGCCTCGATCCCAGAGGTGAGTCTTGGTTTCCCGCGGTTACGCTCTGACACACATACAGCCAATCATTAATCAGAGTCTGGGAGCACATTAAGAGTCTGGAGCCGCCCGAGGACACCGGTGCTCGCTCTGACCCAAAAACTCGTCCTCGGCACAAAGACGCTTCCGACAGCAGCGGGTCGGCTCACGCCGGGCGGGCTCAGCTGCCGCCTGCCAGCGGCGCCCAACTTTACGACGCAAGCGAAGACACCTTGCTAAAGGTGATTTCACAAAACCTTCCTGTGGTGCCTTCAGTGACTGTGTGAAAATCACGTGGATCTGAGCGGCTGC